ATCTACACAGCTCCAGATGGAGTCTGGTGGAAATGGCCCTGCGGAGAGGTTTCTAAGTACCTGGGGGATGCAGCTGGCTCTCTACCGTGGGCTGAATGACAGAAGGCTGGGGACCCTCCAGCCCAAGTCCTCTGGGCAGACAGAAGAACAGTCAGAGAGGCGTGGCAGAAGGGATTCCTTTTCACCATCCCAGGCCCCCATGCCTTCACCACCCCAGGTCTTCACACCTTCACCACCCCAGGTCCCTGCTCCTTCACCACCCTAGGTCTTGTTTAGTTTACCATGTTCCAGATTTAAAAAAAAAAAAAAAAAAAAAAAAATGCTATTAACGCTAACAATCTGAGATCTGAACCCATAAATTTTGGGATGCGTCCAGAGAGTTATCATCTGCGTTCAATTTCACACTCATTTAAGAACCCTCAATCCTCTAAGGGAGGAAGGAAGTGACAATTGACGGAGCAGTACTTCCATTTCGGGAAGAGCGTGTACCCGAGCTTGAAGGCGTTCTGAGCAACGGGAATATAAACATGTCAGTGCAGAAATTTATACAGGTAACTCAGCAGCGACATCTCCCTTTTTCCATGGTGAGACCGACAAAGATGGAAATAAACCCCAATGCTGGCAGATTTTTTTTGAAACGGAAACTACAGTTTGTTGATTAAAAAGATTGCGGTCCCTGGCCCCCCTCCCCCAATTAAACGTGTTGTTGTTGTTGTTGTTGCTATTGTGTTGTGTTGTGTTGTTTTCTAAAAGATTCTCTCAAAGCTGCTGAATGAGAGATTTGATTTTACGATGAAAGTCAGAGGGAAAATATTTGGACTTAGCTTAAAAATATCTCCTTGCCATTTCTCTAGCTAATGCCTAGTCAGAAAGAGGTTTTTTACAGTTGCTGGAAAAAATGCTCGTAAAAATATGTCAGTGACTCAATAATGACATCATGGATACACTTGGCCTTTTTTTTTTTTTTTCTTCAAGACAGGGTTTCTCTGTGTAGCCCTGTCTGTCCTGGATCTTGCTCTGTAGACCAGGCTGGCCTGGAACTCAGAGATCTGCCTGCCTCTGCCTCCTGAGTGCTGGGATTAAAGGCGTGCGCTACCAACTGCCTGGATTTTTAAGACTTCGTGTTTTTAAAAAGACCTCAAATAATACTATTTCCCTTAAATTTTCTCATTGCTATTTAAATCTTAATGTCTGGTGGCTATCTTTAAAACACTCTTTCTTTAAATTTTGTTTTCTTTTTCTTTTATTTTGTGTGTGTATGTGTGGTGCATGTACGTGTTCGTGTGGGTGTATACACGCGTGCACACACATACACATGTGGAGGTCAGAGGTCAACAGTGGGCATTTTCTCTTCTTAAAACACATTTGAGATTTATTTTTATTTTGAATTGTGTGTGGGGTGTGTGTGTGTGTGTGTGTGTGTGTGTGTGTGTGTGTGTGTGTGTACACATGAGTGCAGGAGCCTTCGGGGCCAGTGGTATCAGATCCCCCCTGGAACTGGGGTTATAGGCAGTTATAAGCTGCCCAACATGGATGCTGGGGATGGATCTCGTGGTCTCTGCAGGAGCAAGTACACTCTCTTAACCAAAGAGCCCTCTCTTCAGCCCTCTTATCAGGCATTTCCTTTCACCTTGTTGTTAAGAGATTTATGTGTTATTTATTTGTTTGATGTGTTTGTGCCTCACACATGTGCTTCCCCGTCGATGGGGTGCCCCACATGTGTGCAGAAGCCTGGGGAGGCAATGGGTCCCCTGGGACTGAAGCTATGGGTGGTTGTGAGCTACAGGGTGGGTGCAGGGAACCAAACCTGGGTCCCCGGCAAGAGCAACCAGCACACTTAGCTGCTGAGCCGTCTCCAGCCTCCTCCTCCTCCTTAGTTTCTGAGACAGAGTGTCTCCCTGAGCCTGGAGCTCACTAATTGGGTAGGCAGGGTAGCCAGTGAACCCTAGGCATCTGCTGTCTCTGCACAGCCCACCCCAACCGGGGTTACAGAGGTGCCCCTGACACTGTGCCCTGCTTTGACCTGGGTCCTGGGATGCGAACCCAGGTCCTAATGCTTTTGGGGTGAGTACTTTTAGCAACCGAGCCATCTCCCCTGCTCCTAGTTTTGAATATTATTTTCTTTTTGATCACTGTTGTCAACTCTTATTAGAATGATATGATTAGGCTGCATGATGGTTCAGCAGGTAAAGGTGCGGCTGAGCCAGACGACCTGAGTTCAGTCCTGAGACAGGGGATGTGATTTCAGTCTCTGGGACCCACGTGGGTGGAAGAAAAGCACTGACTTCCAAAGGTGTCCTCTAAGCTCCATTGATAATCTGCGGCCTGTGCATGTGCGTGCACATTCGCACGAGTGTTCGAGCACCCACCCACCCACACACACACACACACACACACACCAAATATTAAAAGTAAAACAAAAGTATTATTAATGTATAAGTATTTTTTTCTCATAGCATTAAAGGTTGAACCTAGGGTCTCATGAAAGTACCTTTACCCCGAGGGCATATCCCAGCCCTCTTTTTTTTCACTTTGAAAACTTTTATTTTGAGACATGTTTTCAATAAGTGGTCCAGGTTGGTCTTGAACTCACTGTAGCCCAGGCAGGCCTTAACTTATGATCCCCCTGCTTTCGTCTTCAGGTAACTGTGATTATGCACCTACACTCCCATTTTACATTTGAAACATGTAAAAGGATCTGTTGAGGAAAGGGGGGGCTGACAGGAGGGGCACAGAGCATCACCCCTCAATTTTGAATAGAGGCCTCAGTTTACCTGGAAAAGAGGAAGCTCTGCTTATAAGGTCCTACCTGGTCACAGACATTTGAGTGGATGGATCTCAGGTCCTGGAAGAAGGATGAAGCTAAATCTCGTCTCAGTGTCTTTAAAGCTTTTTTTTTTTTTCTCATATGTATCTTAGTCACAGATTGAAAGGTTCAATAATAAGATTCCAGTTCTTCCCAAGTTGATCCATAATGTCACTGCAGTTCTAGCTGAAGTCTTCCAAGTTGCTATTTTCGTGAAAACTGACAAGCCGATTCTCTATGTAGAGATTCGAAAAAGAGTTCAGAACAGCAAAGGCAATTCTACGAGCTAGGAAGACAGGGACCAGAGCCCTGGGGACTGAGACCATGTGAGATTGATGTGATGTAAGAACAAATGAACCGGGGCCAGAATAGAGACTCCAATACCAGATGTGCGCAATCGACGGTGCAGAAGGCTCTATAATGCATCCAGAAGGAGAGTCGGCAAGCCCTGGTGCTGGGCTGGTGGACAGGGACATGGGGGAATGATGGATCTTATTCCCTACCTCACACGAAACTCTAAAGCAGTCCCGGATTGAGCCATGGTCTCATAGAGAGGACTAGTAGTCAAACTTCAGAAACATTTTTTTTTTTAACCCCGAGCAAAGATTGTTTAACAATAGACAAAAGCACTAACCATAGGGGCACCGCCATAAATTTGAGCATACTAAAATTGAAAAATTATATTGTTCAAGAGACATCATTACGAGAATAAAAGGGCAAGCGACAACAATCAATACCCGCTCCGAGAGATGAATGGATAAACAAGCCGCGACAGAGCTAGGAGATGGAACGCGACTCGAAGAAAGGGAAAGCCATTGATGAACGCCACAATGCCGAAGATCCTTCAATGGATTTTGCTGAGTGAAGGAAATCAGACTAAAAAGGCCACATATTGAGGCTGGCACAATGCCTGTTAACTCTGGCGCTCAGGAGGCGGAAGCAGGAGGATTAAGTGTTCAACCAGGCTAGTCTGAGCCTACTAAGTGAAACCCTATCTCCAAAACAAACAAACAAACAAACAAACAAACAAGGGGTGAGGAAGGAAGAAGGGAGGGAGAGAGGTTACGTATTGTTAGGAATCTATTCCGGAACATGCAGAGCTATAGGGATGGGAAAACAGGAGAGTGGTAGCGACTGGATGGTGAAGGAGATGCTAACTTTAAGGAGCTTCACAAGGAAAGTTTCAGGGTGAAGGATCTGCTCCAGATGGGGTCATGGAGGATGGAGGGGTTGGATTCAGCCTCTATGCATTTTTGTCTGTCGGTGTGTGGGTGTGTGCCTACGCGTGCAGGCTGGAGGCGCTGGAGGCGTCGGATTCCCCTGCCGTCGCAGGTAAGCTGCCTAAGGTAGGTGCTGGGTCTACTGAACTCAGGGCCTCTCTCTGCAAGAGCAGTGCTGGTTTCCAACTACTGGGCCTTCTCTCCCCCGCCCCGTCTATGCATTTTTTTTTCCCCCAAAGCCTGGGCCATCCACCACAGGAGTGAGCTCTCACTGGGTGCAAATTAAAAGCAGTTGACAGCAGGATAGCAGTGAGCTCGGGAGGGAAGCCAGGCCTCCAACAGATGAAACCATTGCAGTGTGGCCAAAACCTCACTGAAAGGGTGGAGAGAGGAACACTGATCAAGCAACTTTTGAAAAGAGGGTTTCGGTTGGGTTCTGGAGGAGCAAAGAGAATAAGAGATCCACGCTGTACTCCGGGGTCCAGGGAAGTTTGTTTCTCACGGGGCTGTGTGAGTCAGTCATTCACCAGAGTTCAAAAGATAAATCACAGGTAGGTGAGTTACAATGCAGATAAGTTACAAATAAGCAAGGGAGTGGAGTGGGGGGGGGGGGTTCGATAGTCAGGACATCAGCATGAACCCCATGGCATCTTACTATATGTAAATAGAGAATTACAACAGCTAAGTACTGATGGGTGACATCAGGGTGTGTGTGTGTGTGTGTGTGTGTGTGTGTGTGTGTGTGCGCGCGCGTGCGCGCGCGCATGCATTTGCAGGTGCACACTGCTCACACATGCATGTGCCTGTCTGAGAAAGTCAGAGGACAAGCTCAGCTCTTGCTCCCGCATACTCTCAACCTTGTTTGTTTGAGCCAGGGTCTCTCACAGGCCTGGAACACGCCAAGCAGGTGTGGCCTTTCGGCTGGGAGCTCCAGGGAGCTGCCCATCTCTGCTTCCTCAGCCCTGGGATGACAAGTTAATATGGAATGCTTCACCAATTTGTGTGTCACCCTTTGCCCAGGGGCCATATGCTAATCTTCTCTGTGTTTTTCCAATTTTAGTATATGTGCTGCCCAAGTGAGTGCCTGGCTTTTCTTTTAATATGGGCTCTGGGCATTGAACTCAGCTTCCTGTAAAGCAGGCACTTGGCTGACTGAACTAACTCCAAAGCTCCAAATTTCTTGGTTTTGATAGGCGTGCCACGGTTCTGTGAAACACTGACATCAGGGAGGGCTGGATAGAAGGAAAAGAGACCCTGCCTTCTAAATTCCAGGAGCAAATTGCTGCAGGAAGCAAGCCACATTTGGAAATAAAACTCAAGAAAGGATGAATAACTTCAGCATTGGGTACTTACAATAGAAAATTTGCAATATTAAGCATTGGGGGGAAAAAAGATAGTCATGTAAAAAAGTCAAACATTAAGAGCCACATCGGTAGAAAGAAAATCATGTAATGGAAACAGGGTCTAACTCGTCTCAAATGATAGAGCAGACATGAACAGTAAAACAACTGCAGTCACATTAGCTATGTTCTAGAAGGTAGAGGAAGCTGGGCTCAGAGGTACATACTGTTAAATTCAGCAGCTACTTGGGAGGCAAAAGCAGGAGTCTGAGCCTGGGAGCTTGTGGCCAGCCTGGGCAACAGAGTGAGTCCCTATCTCAAAGTGAGCAATCAAACATTAGGGGAGAAATGACTTATAAACTGTAATCACACACACTCAAGGCACTCCACAGATAGATGCTCATCAAGACACAGAAAAACCAAATGCTAAAAACTAGTAATAAGATCTAAAAACAAAACAAAACAAAACAAAAAAACAAACAGCGATAAGAAAGACCTAGACAGGAAAAAGATAAAATGACACCAGATTCCTTGTCTGAGCAGATCAGATGACAATAAAATAATTGTTTAATTTTCTGGGGGAAGGGCGAGATTCTTATCCTGCTATATTCTATACCTAGCAAAGATGTCCTCCAGACATGAAGGCACAGAGTTGTTTCTTCCCAACAAACAAAGCTGAGAGAACTTGGTAGCAACAGACCAGAGCTAGAAAAAGCATTCCAGGAAGTAATACAGAATAAACAGAAAGAAAATACCAGAAAGAAGCTTGGATCTATACAATGGAGTAAAGGACACCAGAAATGAGATGTATGTGAGTGAATAGAAAATTCTTTTGAAAAGAAACAATCCACAATTGCAGTTGAAAATGCCAACATTTCTCTGCCAATAATTGATAGAACAAGTAGATCATCCCCAAAGTCATGAAGAATGTAAAAGACTGTCAACCAACTGGATGTAATGGATGCTTTCTAGAAAGCTCTACCTCTCACAGCAAATAGACATTTTTTTTTTTTCAAGTGCATTTGGAACATTGACCAAAATAGACTGGATTCTGGGTTAAAAAGCAAGTCACTGAATTTAAGAGGACATAAATCATACAAACTATGTTCTTTGACCATAACTAAATTAAATTAGAAATCAATAACAGAGAAAACATCTTGGAAACCCTCAAAAAAATGAGAAAATACTTTGAGCTAAATGAATATCCAAAGTTGTGGGGTTTTAGTGAAAATGGTGCATGCAGAGAAATTAGCATTGATAGTGAAAAATAAAAAGGGTAACTGAGGTAAGCATTTGGAAGGTCCTTTGCCCGTTGGTTGGGGGGTGGGGTGGGGTGGGGTGGTAGTCTACCAGCCAGTGGATGGTGGAACCCATCACCATGCTGCTTCTGAGCTATCTGCTTCCTGGAATATAGCTGTCCCAGAGGAATGGAAGAGCTTGTTACGAGCAGCGGTGGCATGGGGACCACAGGCTGATGGAGCTCTGTGCTCCCCGAGAGCAGAGGAGCTAGGTGACCCTTCTGTGTGAGGTTCCCCTTCCGTCAACCTCTGCCTGGGAGGAATTCCTACTTGCTGAGCTGAACCTGGAACAGTCGTTCAGCACCAAAGCTGTTCTACCAGAAGGTGGCGGTGTTAGGTCAGAACCACACAGTCAGTTCATAAACCCAGCACAAAGTGAGCGCCTGCTGTATGCAGATGGGTGGCAAATAGACCCTACCACTCCATTTGACAGTGAGAAAGCAGGGCTCACAGGAAGAGCTGGGCCCTGGCTCTGTGCCGCTGCCCTGAGGAGCCTCTCGCCTGCTGCTTTGTACAGAGCTAAATCCTTCAGTGATTTAATTAAGCCCCGAGAAACTTTCTCAAAATCATGTTCCTATGGACAAGGTATGTAGGCCCAAGGCATTACCCAGAAATCCAGGCCCTTGTCAGCTGTCAAGGGCTCCAGAGACAGGCCAGGGATAGTGAAAACGCCACTTTGTCTATGGGTGTGAGCAACGCTCATAATCTGAACTCAAGACCTTGTAGCAAGTGCATTAAGTGTGAATCACTCACGGAACTAGATCCTGGGGGTCCCAGCATGACAGGGAAGCTACCTCTGCCTTTTCTATGAGGCTCCTGGCACTTACAGAAGTCTCTCCAGAAACTCAAAATGTGGGAGAAAGGTCTAAACCAAACACCACACACACACCCTTATCTTCAAGGGACATGCAAAGTTAAGATAGAACTGAAGCCTTGCATACCTCTGTGATAACTCTAAGTTACTCAGATAACTGAGAAGGCTACTGAGTCTTCCGCAGGAGGGTAGCATACACAGTGTGGACACACTGGACATAGGGAGGCTTCATGCCTCCAGCTGTAAAGCGAGATTCCATCAGGCTACTCAGAAATGGCACACTCTGAAAAGAACCGTTTATTGCTGGGGGTTGGAGAAGACGGTTCAAGGGTTAAGAGCATGTGCTGCTTCTGCAGAGGGTCTGAGTTTGGTTCTCTGCCTCTGTAACTGCCAGGAACTCCACTGACGGGGAAATCCAACAACTCCGGCCTCCGGGGACAACTGTACCCATGTGCACATATCCACACACAGGCACAAAATTTAAAAAAAAAAAGTGAAAACAAAGACAAAAAAGAACTATTTCTTTCCAGACCACGGAAGTACCACCCTTGGTAGGCCCCAGTTGGCCGTGGATAACTGAAACTGTGGAAAGGGAAATGGCGGCAGAGCTGGGACCAGTGCATACAGCAATGCATGATGGCATGAGCTAGGACAGAGCCATGTGTCCTGGGAGGGAGAACAGACAGACAAACAGCCTGGAAGGGGAAAGCAGGAAGAAACAGGGTAGAACAGGATGGAGGCCGGTTCAGGGAGGAGGTGCATGCAGTCAGGTCCCCGGAGACCCTATGGCAAAGAGAAGAGGACACAGAGTGAGGCCAAGGACGCTCTCCTGCTTCAGGCCCCTCGAGGTGGCCTCTTCTCCCAGATGCCCAGCTTCCACAGCTTGTAGTGAAACTACAAAGAACAGAAGAGCTGAACGTGGACCCGGAAGCCCCCTAGAGGCCCTGAGTGTTCTGCATGACCTCGCTTGCCCATTTCAGAGGCTGGGAATGGGAACATGGAGCTTCACCCTGTTCGTGAACATGGAGGGTGGGAACAGAGCTTCCAGGAGGGTGGGGGTGGGAACTCGGAGGATGAAGCTGACGCAGGTGGACACCCTTCTTCTACGTCCAGGCCCCCGGGCCTCATTCCCACTAGTCTCTGCCACAGAAGTTCACCCTTCTTAAAGGTCCTGTGAGAGCTGTCTCTCAGTAACAGATGGGCTGGCAGGGACATGCTGGGGCTACGTCCTACCGGCAGCTGGAGGCAGATCACTGGTGGATACAAGAGCGAGGCAGTAAAAACATTAAATATTATTAAACAACCATGGACTCACGAGGCTGGAGCCTGGCTCAGGGCCACCAGACCAGTCTCTTCCTAGATTCCAGGCCCATGGAAAGGTCACGCTTCCCTGAGGAACCTTCCAGAAGATCCGTCCTTCCCTAAGGTGGAGGTCAAGAACCCTCAGTCTGCAGAGGCTGTCCACAGGAGTTGGGCCTTACGTTGTGGAAGGCTTGGGACACAGTGAACCAAGCAGAGGTTCTAGAAGCAGGCAGTCTCTAAAATGCTTATATATATAAACTTTGCCCACAGGTTTTTGTGCAGTTTCAATGAGACCATCTTTGCATCTGGTACTGACAGTAGCATCATAAGCCCGGCCCACATTGCCTGCCTCCTGTCAGGATCAAGGCCACCCTGTCACAATCAGAACTATGTGGTGTGAGCTCCAATCAGGCCTGTGACTTGAGCCAAGCATGCCAGGGTGCAGCTCATGGATTTCATACCTGCCTGTGCATGGCTTCATTCTGCAGAGGACCACAGAGGCATGCACTTGCTGCAGACGGGTCCGAGCCTAAAGGAAGCTTTAATGGAAATCCCAATTCCTTACCACAGTGGCCCTTCCCAGTCAGCCTTCATCAGTTGGCACACATTTCTGATTCCTAAGTTCAGGGATTCTCCATGTGGCCAATGATCAGACAACACAGAAGGCCCCAGTGGCCATCACAATACCAGGAAATAGCAGGTGAGATCTAGGATACCCTTGGGCTGACTACGCTGGGGGTTCCTGTCCCTACCAGGGCAGAGCCTTCCCCCCAACAAGGAAGGACAGAGCTGGGGACAGGGGAAAGTGACTCTGGGCAGAGAGCAGAAACCCAGCCTAAAAACCCTACCCAGCCCCCTTTTACAATCAGGTCTTACAGAGACATTGGCCCTGTCACACGGGTACCCTGCTCCCCATGGCTTCTTTCCTAGCTTGCGATTAACTCCACCTCTGATAGACTGGGTCTCCTTCAGACATCCCCTGTGACCATTCCTTCCTTCTTTCCAATGCGTGCCACATTCAGTTAAGAAATACATAAATGTATTTCTGTTGGCTGTCTTCTGACGAAGACACGTTTGCCAGAACACCCCATAAAGTGCCGGGATTGTGGGAAGGCCTCTCTAGTCCAGTGTGATAGCTTTGCCATTTCATCTAATTACGAAGAAGACCGTAGGAAAACAATTGCTATTGACATTCTGAAGCCACTGGTCCTGGGAGGGTGGGTCCTGTGGGTGGGACGACCCTCTGCTTGGAGGACTGGCCTGGGGAGAACAGCTACTGCCTAAGAGGAAGGAGGGGGAGGGGATGGGAAGGGCAGAAGGAGGAAAGAGA